ACCCGGGAATCCGGGAATGGGAATCCGGGAATCCGGGAATTCCACCCGGAAATGTGGGAATTCCACCCGGAAATCCAGGAAATCCACCCAGAAATACGGGAAATCCACCCGGAAATGCGGGAAATCCGGGAATTCCACCCGGAAATCCGGGAATTCCACCCGGGAATTCCACCCGGAAATCCAGGAATTCCACCCGGAAATCTGGGAATTCCACCCGGAAATCCGGGAAATCCGGGAATTCCACCCAGAAATCCGGGAATGGGAAATGGGAAATCCGGGAATTCCACCCGGAAATGCCGGGAATGGGAAATCCGGGAATTCCACCTGGGAATCCAGGATTTTGGGGTGAATTTGTTGATTTTTGGGGGTTTTTGGGGTGAATTTGGGGGATTTTGGCTCTCACCTCCCGGTACAGGTGAATTTGGGGTGAATTTGGGGTGAATTTGTAGATTTTTGGGGTGAATTTGGGGTTTTTGGGGTGAATCTGTTGATTTTTGGGGTGAATTTGGGGTGAATTTGGGGTGAATTTGGGGTTTTTGGGGTGAATTTGTTGATTTTTGGGGTTTTTGGGGTGAATTTGGGGTGAATTTGTTGATTTTTGGGGTGAATTTGGGGTATTTTGGGGTGAATCTGTGGATTTTTGGGGTGAATTTGGGGTGAATTTGGGGTGAATTTGGGGTTTTTTGGGGTGAATTTTTGGATTTTTGGAGTGAATTTGGGGTTTTTGGGGTGAATTTGTGGATTTTTGGGGTGAATTTGGGGTATTTTGGGGTGAATTTGTGGGTTTTTGGGGTATTTTGGGGTGAATTTTTGTATTTTTGGGGTGAATTTGGGGTTTTTGGGGTGAATTTGGGGTATTTTGGGGTGAATTTGGGGTTTTTTGGGGTGAATTTGTGGATTTTTGGGGTGAATTTGGGGTATTTTGGGGTGAATTTGGGTTTTTTTGGGGTGAATTTGTAGATTTTTGGGGTGAATTTGTGGATTTTTGGGGTGAATTTGTGGATTTTTGGGGTGAATTTGGGGGATTTTGGCTCTCACCTCCCGGTACAGGTGGATTTGGGGTGAATTTGGGGTGAATTTGGGGTTTTTGGGGTGAATTTGGGGGATTTTGGGGTGAATTTGGGGGATTTTGGCTCTCACCTCCCGGTACAGGTGGATTTGGTGTGAATTTGGGGTTTTTGGGGTGAATTTGTGGATTTTTGGGGTGAATTTGGGGGATTTTGGCTCTCACCTCCCGGTACAGGTGGATGCCGGGGTATTTTGGGGTGAATTTGTGGATTTTTGGGATGAATTTGGGGTATTTTGGGGTGAATTTGTGGGTTTTTGGGGTATTTTGGGGTGAATTTTTGTATTTTTGGGGTGAATTTGGGGTTTTTTGGGGTATTTTGGCTCTCACCTCCCGGTACAGGTGGATTTGGTGTGAATTTGTGGATTTTTGGGGTGAATTTGTGGATTTTTGGGGTGAATTTTTGGATTTTTGGGGTGAATTTGGGGGATTTTGGCTCTCACCTCCCGGTACAGGTGAATTTGGTGTGAATTTGGGGGTTTTTGGGGTGAATTTGGGGTTTTTGGGGTTTTTTGGGGTATTTTGGCTCTCACCTCCCGGTACAGGTGGATTTGGGGTGAATTTGGGGTGAATTTGGGGTAAATTTGGGGGTTTTTGGGTGAATTTGGGGTGAATTTGGGGTGAATTTGGGGTATTTTGGGGTGAATTTGGGGGATTTTGGCTCTCACCTCCCGGTACAGGTGGATTCCGGGGTGAATTTTTGTATTTTTGGGGTGAATTTGTGGGTTTTTGGGGTGAATTTTTAGATTTTTGGGGTGAATTTGGGGTATTTTGGCTCTCACCTCCCGGTACAGGTGGATTTGGGGTGAATTTGGGGTGAATTTTTGTATTTTTGGGGTGAATTTGGGGGATTTTGGGGGATTTTGGCTCTCACCTCCCGGTACAGGTGGATGCCGGGGTGAATTTGTGGATTTTTGGGGTGAATTTGGGGTTTTTGGGGTGAATTTGGGGGATTTTGGCTCTCACCTCCTGGTACAGGTGGATTTGGGGTGAATTTGGGGTTTTTGGGGTGAATTTGTAGATTTTTGGGGTGAATTTTTGTATTTTTGGGGTGAATTTGTGGGGTTTTGGGGTGAATTTGGGGGATTTTGGGGTGAATTTGGGGTTTTTGGGGTGATTTGGGGGATTTTGGCTCTCACCTCCCGGTACAGGTGAATTTGTGGATTTTTGGGGTTTTTTGGGGTGAATTTGTGGATTTTTGGGGTATTTTGGGGTGAATTTGTTGATTTTTGGGGTGATTTTGGGGTATTTTAGGGTGAATTTGTGGATTTTTGGGGTTTTTTGGGGTGAATTTTTGGATTTTTGGAGTGAATTTGGGGTTTTTGGGGTGAATTTGTGGATTTTTGGGGTGAATTTGGGGGATTTTGGCTCTCACCTCCCGGTACAGGTGGATTTGGTGTGAATTTGGGGTATTTTGGGGTGAATTTTTGGGTTTTTGGGGTATTTTGGGGGATTTTGGCTCTCACCTCCCGGTACAGGTGGATGCCGGGGTCGTTCCCGCTCAGCAGGAAAACGGTCTCCAGGTGCTCCCCAACACGAACCCTGCGGGCAGATTTTGGGGTGATTTGGGGTTTTTAGGGGATTTTTTGGGTTTTTTTGGGGGGATTTTGGGGTGATTTGGGTTTTTTTGGGGGGGATTTTGGGGGGGATTTTGTGTTTTTTTAGGGAATTTTTGGGGTTTTTTTGGGGATTATTGGGGTTTTTTTGGGGGGATTTTGGGTTTTTTTGGGGTTTTTTGGGGTGTTTTGGGGGGATTTTAGGGTTTTTTTTTGTTTTTGGTTTTTTTTGGGTGGATTTTGGGTGGATTTTGGGGGGATTTTGGGGTTTTTGGGGTGTTTTGGGTGGATTTTGGGTGGATTTTGGGGTTTTTTGGGGTTTTTTTTGGGGTGCTTTGGGCGGATTTTGGGTGGATTTTGGGGTTTTTTGGGGTTTTTGTTGTGCTTTGGGGTGATTTTGGGGTTTTTGGGGTGTTTTGGGTGGATTTTGGGAGGATTTTGGGGTTTTTGTTGTGTTTTGGGTTTTTTTGGGTGGATTTTGGGTGGATTTTGGGTTTTTGGTGTGTTTTGGGTGGATTTTGGGTTTTTTTTGGGGTGTTTTTGGGGTTTTTGGGGTGACTCACTGGGCGTGGCACAGCTGGAAGGGGGTGAAGCGAAGCTCCAGGTTCAGGCAGCTCTCTGGGGAGGGGGAAAAGGGGGGGCCCAAAATCAAATTTGGGGGTCCCAAAATCAACTTGGGGGGTCCCAAAATCAACCTGGGGGTCCCAAAATCAACTCAGGGGGTCCCAAAATCAACCTGGGGGGCCCAAAATCAAATTTGGGGGTCCCAAAATCAACTTTGGGGGGCCCAAAATCAGCCTGGGGGGTCCCAAAATCAACCTGGGGGGTCCCAAAATCAACTCAGAGGGTCCCAAAATCAATTTGGGGGTCCCAAAATCAACTCTGGGGGTCCCAAACCAAATTTGGGGGTCCCAAAATCAACTTGGGGGTCCCAAAATCAACTCAGAGGGTCCCAAAATCAACTCAGGGGGCCCAAAATCAACCTGGGGGCCCCAAAATCAACCTGGGGGGTCCCAAAATCAATTTGGGGGGCCCAAAATCAACCTGGGGGGTCCCAAAATCAAATTTGGGGGCCCAAAATCAAATTTGGGGGGTCCCAAAATCAACTCAGGGGGTCCCAAAATCAACTTGGGGGTCCCAAAATCAAATTTGGGGGGCCCAAAATCAAATTTGGGGGCCCAAAATCAAATTTGGGGGTCCCAAAATCAACTGGGGGGTCCCAAAATCAACCTGGGGGGTCCCAAAATCAACTTTGGGGGTCCCAAAATCAAATTTGGGGGTCCCAAACCAAATTTGGGGGTCCCAAAATCAACTCGGGGGGTCCCAAAATCAAATTTGGGGGTCCCAAAATCAACTTTGGGGGTCCCAAAATCAACCTGGGGGTCCCAAAACCAAATTTGGGGGGTCCCAAAATCAAATTTGGGGGTCCCAAAATCAACTCAGGGGGGCCCAAAATCAACTCTGGGGGTCCCAAAATCAACTCGGGGGGTCCCAAAATCAACCTGGGGGGTCCCAAAATCAAATTTTGGGGTCCCCAATCCCATTTTTGGGGTCCCCAATCCCGTTTTGGGGTCCCCAATCCCATTTTTGGGGTCCCCAATCCCATTTTGGGGTCCCCAATCCCATTTTTAGGGTCCCCCATCCCGTTTTTGGGGTCCCCCATCCCATTTTTGGGGTCCCCAATCCCATTTTTGGGGTCCCCAATCCCATTTTGGGGTCCCTAATCCCGTTTTTGGGGTCCCCAATCCCGTTTTTGGGGTCCCCAATCCCGTTTTTGGGGTCCCCCATCCCATTTTTGGGGTCCCCAATCCCGTTTTTGGGGTCCCCCAATCCCATTTTTGGGGTCCCCAATCCCATTTTGGGGTCCCCAGCCCCATTTTTGGGGTCCCCCATCCCATTTTTAGGGTCCCCAATCCCGTTTTTGGGGTCCCCAATCCCATTTTGGGGTCCCCAATCCCATTTTTGGGGACCCCCATCCCGTTTTTGGGGTCCCCAGCCCCATTTTTAGGGTCCCCAATCCCATTTTGGGGTCCCCCCATCCCATTTTTGGGGTCCCCAATCCCGTTTTTGGGGTCCCCAATCCCATTTTTGGGGTCCCCAATCCCGTTTTTGGGGTCCCCAATCCCATTTTGGGGTCCCCCATCCCATTTTCGGGGTCCCCATCCCGTTTTTGGGGTCCCCAATCCCGTTTTTGGGGTCCCCAATCCCATTTTGGTGTCCCCAATCCCGTTTTTGGGGTCCCCAATCCCATTTTTAGGGTCCCCAATCCCATTTTTGGGGTCCCCAATCCCATTTTTGGGGTCCCCAATCCCATTTTTGGGGTCCCCCATCCCGTTTTTGGGGTCCCCCATCCCGTTTTTGGGGTCCCCCATCCCGTTTTCGGGGTCCCCAATCCCGTTTTTGGGGTCCCCCATCCCGTTTTTGGGGTCCCCAATCCCGTTTTTGGGGTCCCCCAATCCCATTTTCGGGGTCCCCCATCCCATTTTTGGGGTCCCCAATCCCGTTTTTGGGGTCCCCCATCCCGTTTTTGGGGTCCCCAATCCCATTTTCGGGGTCCCCAATCCCATTTTTGGGGTCCCCAATCCCGTTTTTGGGGTCCCCAATCCCGTTTTTGGGGTCCCCCATCCCGTTTTCGGGGTCTCTCACGGGCCACGGAGTCGAGGTCGAACTCGCAGCCGGGCTCGTAGTCACAGTAAATGTTGAGGAAGGGGCTGGGCTTGTCCCCCGAGTCCTGGGGGGACCCCAAAACCTCCTGAGACCCCCCCAAAAACCACCCCAGAGACCCCAAATCCATCCTGAGACCCCAAAAACCATCCAGAGACCCCCAAAAACCATCCCAGAGACCCCCAAATCCATCCTGAGACCCCAAAAACCACCCCAGAGACCCCAAATCCATCCTGAGACCCCAAAAACCATCCCAGAGACCCCAAAAACCAACCCAGAGACACCAAAACCACCCCAGAGACCCCCAAAAACCATCCCAGAGACCCCAAAAAACCACCCCAGAGACCCTAAAACCATCCCAAATCCTCTCTGGGTCCCCCCAAATCCCCTTTGGGACCCCTAAAGCCCCTCTGGGACCCCCAAATCCCCTCTGGAACCCCCCAAATCCCCTCTGGGACCCCCCAGATCCTCTCTGGGACCCCCCAAATCCCACCTGGGACCCCCCAGATCCTCTCTGGGACCCCCCAAATCTCCTCTAGACCCCCGAAATCCCATCTGGGACCCCCCAGACCCCCTCAAGGCCCCCCC